GTTAAAATCAACGATTCTGAACGAATTTTTTACACAAACGTGGCGTAGTTTTAGCGATTAGACCTCGAAGACTTAAACACCGTGTCAGAACACAGCTTTCCAGCGCTTTTCAGCTTTAAAAAGCTGATTTTATTTCCCTATGAAAACGAATTTTCACTTCCGGGTCACGTGACTGAAATCACCAATGAAAAGCAGCGCGGGGTTGAGAGGAAGTCACGTAGGCACGCATTCACCCTCAGCAAATCAGAGCGCTCCACAGCAGTAAATCAAACAACCACGAAGCGTTAGCAGCCATGTTAGAGTAGCCTGAACTATTTCGTCAACCGATCGTCTTTTAAACCATCAAAATGCACTTTTTCTGTTAAAAATGTAACGAATCAACTCTGAGCTGTACGGAGTCTCCTACTCCGGTCTCAAAAACGTCTTCCTAGCTATTTAAACAACTCGTTCGAATTTTCCAGAACCGAGCCGGTCCACAGAACCGAACCTCCCGTCCGTTTGGACCTCAGTTTAAACAGAACGCAGCGTTTCTCACAGCTCATCAGCTCTTAGTCACACGTAACAGGCGTACAATTTCAGCTTTCATAAAGACTTATGACACAATTTCAGCTTCTAACAATGCCAGCGTACCACAAGCGCGCAGCTCCATTGCGCTGCGTAAATACGCACAGCCAAGCTGTAAGCGCGCAGCCCCAGCTCGCTGCGTAAACATGCAGTGTTTCAGCACAGCTGATAAACTGTTATTTTACAACACATGCCAACATGAAATCAATGTTTACACGGTTACAGTCCATTTATGAGCACGTGACGGGCCACCAATATGTAGATGAACAGATGCTCAGATATATTCATCATTTAACACGGATTCCTCATTTTTCTGGACTGAATAAAACGTGCATTGAATTTAAGGAAATGCAAACGTGAGACGTCATTTATATTTGACCCATCAAAATGAATGCGGTCATTTATTTACAGAATCAAAATTTAACATCAAACATTTACATTAATTTGGCAAATTATGAAAATAACAACATAAGCAATCAATCAGGAAAAATCATACGGCCATGATTTTTCCGTTGCTTCACCACAGCGATGTTATGAAAACTGTACAATTATGATCTTTTACCCACATGAATGTGGGTGAGCATTTTACACAGACATTTCTAAAATATCTGGAAGAATTTCTACTTGATAGAAAAGTTTAAAGATGAAAGAAGTTTAGAGGGAATAAAAGATGGGGTTTGAGGGGAAGTAAGTTTTCACCAGAACGGCACTCTCCATCAGAAACCCAGCTCGCCTCGGTACGCTTGGTAGGAAACTTGACCCATTACCTTTCTGATGATAATCAGCAGATATGGTGTTCCGTTAACGCTACCTGTCCAGCGTCTCCTTAGTATGGCTGTAGCTCGTCAGAAGTAGTGGCGAGTGAAAGGTGTTATACTCCCATGGAACTCGGAAGAGCTCTGTTGTCAGGATCATCCCGTCTCTCACAGAACTGGTTGGACTGTGTATCCAGCAGAACTCCAACAGCACTCCATCAGAACTTCAACAGAACCAAGACCGAGTAGACCAGGAAGTACTGACATTTTAAAGAGCTGTTTCCCGGTTCACTTTTGGGATTTGTTCATTGGTCAGAAACGACCAGACGGGGTGTGTTTTGTGACGTAAGAGGTTAGAGACAGCGAGAATTGTTATGAAACAGATCAGAAATGTTCTCACAGACAGAGAGAGTTTTGTTTTGGCGCTGTTTCAGCAACAGGTGCTAAAACTTCTCTATTTACGTCTGAGAGGATTCTAAAACATGACAGTTCTAACATAACAACTTGTTTTGCGTTTTATTCCAACCTTGGAAACGCACACTTGCTCACTCAAAGGCAGAAATCAGAAAATGCATAATTATTCTGTTACAGCTTTGACATGAGAATAAAAATCATTACACAGTTAATAAAATTGATTAGTGCACTGCAACATCTAAAATGGTTTGAACTAAGACACTTTGATTATCAACATTTGAAAAATAGTAATGATAATAAAAAGAGAGTGTTCTTTTCACTTGAATCTTCAAGAAAGAAAGTCTCAGGATGGGTGAACCTGTATTTCTGAGTTCAAATGAATGAAATGACAGTTCCTGTCCCACAAGGTTCTAAAGGTCAAGAGTTTTGACCTTAGACTTAGTTTTTGACATGGGCCTAGTCCACTACACAACCAATCCATACATCCATTCATTATCTTTCACTGAACTGTGGTCTGGGTTAGGCCTGTCGCAATAAACAATAAATCAATGAATCGCATGATAAATGAAAATGATCAACCTCATTTACATTTATCGGCCTTATCATTTTTTCGTGTCTGTTTCTACTGAAGACACTGTATGACAAACAGCTCAACTCCAGTGCTCTTCACTGATCCCCTCCCTTTCTTTTTATCCTTTTTAAATCCAAAATTCTTTTTAACTGTCTTCTTAACCTTCTTAAAGAGACACACTGCTCGCTCCCTCACTATCCATCCTTCGGTTCAAACATCTTATACTGCCATCCAGTGGTCGAAAAAGGTACTAATTGCAAAACAAAGTAAAAAACATTTCTTCTTTAATTTGACAATGATTACTAATTATTGTCAAATTTCAAACAATGTTATCGTTTATCGCAATAATTTCTGAGACAATTAATCGCCCAGCAAAATTTGTTATCGTGACATGCCTAGTCAGGCTACAAAAATTACAAGTCAAGGAAATAAATTCAGACTTTTATCTCTCCAGTGACCCTCTCCAGCTCTTTTATAAGGAATCCCAAAAGTTCCCAGAACAGGAATAGTACATAAGCCTTGTAGAACGTTCTGGGTCTGCCTCTCAGTCTCCCAGTAGTCATGTCTGGTAAATCTCCAGAGGGAAAAGTCCCGGAGGCATCCTAATTACTTGCCTGAACCACAACAGATTTAGCTGCAGAGGCTGTACTTCAAACTCATTTCAGCCACTCGTTTCCAAGACCTCACTCGTTCAGGCCATAATTCAAATCTCATGACAATAGGTGAGAGTTGAAATGTGGTTGAATGAGTAAAACATGACCTTTACCTTTTACCTTAGTTGCTTCTTCACTACAACAGACCAGAACATGCTCTCATTACTGCAGACAAAGTCCTGAGCCATTAGCTCATCCAGTGCTCCATCCTGTCATCACTTGTGAGCAAGACTAAAGGAGGCTTAAACTCTACTGTTTGAAGAAAAGACTGTCCAGATCAGCGTGAGCAATCTGCCATTTTCAGGTTGAGAACAGTGACCTCAGACGTAAATGAGCTGCTTTTCATCTCAGCTGCATCCTACTGGGTTACTAACCACCCCATTGCACTCTGATAGCCCTGGCTTGAAGACATAAACAGAACCACATCATCTGCAAAAAGCAGAGATGATACCCAGAATTTCCCAAACTTCCAATCCCTCTTTCTATCATTGGCAAATACTGAAATGAAGTCCCTCCAGTTGTTTGCCCATTTTATTAGCCTAAGTTCAAACTCTTAAAATATAAAGAAGCAGACATTTGCACAAGGAATGAAATGTCCTTACTAAAAGTTGTAGCAAAATTACTCTTTATTTTTGAAAATGTTTGATAAAAAACAAGACATTTCTAACTAATTTTCTTTGTTTTTCTTATTTCAGGTAGCAAGGCCAAAGATAGTGTGGGCACAGGTGAGTTTTCTTTCTGCTGCTAACATATCTATTGTAAGAAACAAGTTTTATGAAAATAAAAAAATAAAACTGCATAGAAGTAAGTGTTGTTAAAGGAGACTGTGTTTAAGGGGTCATTCTGGTCAATAATGAATTGTGAAATATAAAACGACTGCCATTGTGCTTTTAATGTGTCTGCTGAGCCTTGTGAGGTAATGTTATATTTGTGTGTGTGCAGTGGCTGAGAAGACCACTGGAGCTGTTGGGAACATTGTTGCTGCCACTGGTCTGGTGAAGAAGGATGAGTTCCCAGCTGACATGAACGTAAGTCTGGTTCAGCTCTGCAGTCAGGAGGAGATCTGGTCACGAATCAATGATTTTCTGTAACAGAATCAGCTGCAACCTAAGTAAATTGATTTTTTTCCACCTATTCAGTCGAACTGCTGAGATCACATGAAGGACAAACATATGCACACATGCAAAGACAACCACTTTGACTTTTAACTCTCAAACGAATAACTGCATTTTGTTATAGGTACAAATGCATTTTCTGTAATTGAAGAAGTGAAGTCTCCATTGGTAGGCAGGTGTAAAACTAAATTTTATTTTACAAAAATAAAATGAGAAAGTAAAAAAAAAGTATCTAGAAAACAGAACTGGGGCTTGTACTGATTAAAGCACAAACAAATACAATGAAGGCTAAAAATGAAAAGCTGAGAAAAGACAAATGAAACTTGGGGTTTATCTGACCGTGTGAATAAAAAAATCCAGATTTTATGATTAGCAAACAAAAAATCTGATTTATTGGAAATGTAGAAAGCAAAATAACAAATTCATGAAAAATAAAGCAAATTTAAAGAACATTAAAAACTAAAACAAAGATCACTAGCAGGGATTAACATATTTGAAAACATATTTGAAAGACCTGGGTAAAGATTTGGTAACGGGTCAGAATTTTTCTAATTGAACAATAAATTGTCTGGGCTGTGATTAGCCCTGTTTCTGATTATTACAACCAATATGTTTTGTTGAAAGGTTTTTGCTTTTAAAAGGTAATCAATAATGTTTTACTCTTTATTTTTGTATCTACTTTTTATTTTTTTAATCTGGTTGTGACTTTACCTGTAAATCACTACGTATTCTATGTGGTTATATTATA